ACACGGATTTCTCCCAAACCGTTCTTGCGTGGCAAACATGCTCGTGTTTATGGACAGCTTAACCCAAGCCAAGGACGAATGATTCATATCGGATGCCATATTTTTCGACTTCTGAGAAGCATTTGATAGGGTCCCACACGTCCCGCTGCTCCACAAACTCGAGTCTTGCGGGATTCAAGGGAAAATCCTTCGCAGGAGCAAGGCGTTCCTATGATGCAGATCATTCCGTGTGAGAATAGGCTCGACCTACACTTCTCCAGCGCTGGTTTCCTTTGGAGTTCCTCAAGGCTCCGTCCTGGGAACAGTGCCGTTTCTGATCTACATCAACGACATTGCAGATTTTATTGCAAGTCCATGTCCACTTTTCGCGGACAACATGAAATCCTGGATTTCAAATGCCAGTGCCCTTCCAATGGATGTAGATACTGCGAAGCAATGGTCGTTGGAGTGGCACCTTCCTCTGAATGACGAAAATTGCATTCATATGTAATTTGGAGTAGACCTAGAGAATGCCTTAGTTATGCATGGTGAAAAGAGACCAGAAAACATCATGAGGATAGATGCCAAAAAAGATTTAGGCATCTGGGTCTCCTCAAACTTGTCCTTCGCACTACACCATGAGAAATCGGCCCAAAAGGCATTCGCCGTTTTACGGATGATCCGACGTACCTTCTCCCGTATTACTCGCATGGACTTCCAAATACTCTATGGGGCCTACGTCAGACCGCTCCTGGAGTACGCCAACCAAGTTGTCTACTCAGGACGTACGAAAGACGTTACCCTCATTGAGCGTGCCCAGCGGGCCGCCACGAGAATGGTTGCCGGCCCCAAATCCGTGGACTACGAAACGCACTTACGCCCTGTTTGAACAAAGCTTGGCAAACACGTTTTTTACCGTTGACCCAGCAAACACCCGGCGGGGACATATTAAGGAAATTTTCGAGCTCAGGGCACACGCATTCATTGGACAAAATTTTTTCTCATTTCGGGCTGTAGCTGCGTGGAATGACCTTCCTCCGACGGTTGTCCACGCTCCTTCTAGAACCCAGTTTAAAGCACTGTTAGACATTTATTTACGCGACTCCTCGCGCTGGCGAGCATACTGCCCCGCGCTGAGAACATAAAGAGAAGTGCTACACCTTTTTTCACTTGTGCCTTTCAGGTGATGACAGCCACCGACCGACAAGAACAAAACCGACCCGGGATTCCTGAGCAAAAGCCTCGATCCTGTATATCAATCCGTGAATCCCTGAAAAACAAATTGGCCAGCTCAGCGAACAAGCCAACGACCATTTCGGTTCATTTGCAAGTGTTAGGGATGTACCGCCTTGCTTTATGGACTTCATATAACCTAAATTATTTGTGTTTTACATCTGGATAGATTGTCTTGAGCCCTCATTTTCAGGAAACAGCTGTCCCAGTAAGCATCCATAGCGTGTACGCACACCGTCCCTCCCTGGCCTAAAGGTTCATGGGCGCGCATTCAAATGGACGATGGTAGTTTGCTTCATTTGGATTTTTCTACTGCTAAACCGGATTTTGGTGAATGCGCTCACTCAAAATATATGTAAGTAATAGCAATTGTTCCAAAACACTTCTGTATTTTGTATTTTTGTGTTTCGTAGCCCTGATGTTAGATGGCTAGCGATCACTTCATTTAAGACGTCTAAATGCAGCGTACAGCATTGGCTGGTGTTTGATAAGGGGATCAATCCAGCTTCTAGTTTCACCTGTTTATGTTGCGTTGAACCCCAATCGGTCGTGGTTGAGGGTTCTCTAGGGTCACAGGTGCCTGAAAGCTTCAGAATCTTCATGGACATCGTTCAGCTGCCATGCCATCAGAAGGAAGCACCAGGGCTGGGATACTGCCAGGTTACCAGAGACAGGGGAAGTCGAGTGGTGCAGGTTAGGGTTGATGCTATTACCACAACTTCGTAAACAATCTCTTGTTGGTTCGTCCCACGCATATTGGACCTGCGCGGTGGATACCTCATTTGCGACTGTATAGTTCACATAGTCGCTGGATGGTGCGTTCGGTTTCACTGATTTGTGTCAACAACACACCCGTGAGCTGCTGAAGATTATACTTGAAAAACTTCTCACCTAAGGCAAAGACGGAGTGCAATTGGAACAAACAGTAAAAAAAAGCTGTTGCAGTGCACGTAAACCAAAGTAAGGTTGTGTCATTAACATCCTACGAAGCCCTTCATGAACTCCTCATAGGTCACACAAATGAAAAATCGAACGTTTTGGTAATAATGATATTCGCAGGTTATGTTCGAGCCACGGACAAAGATGCCCTTTTATCCAGCTCCGCATTGGTTCGCAGTTTCCTCAGAGATCGTATGCAACGTGGCAGGCTGTGATCTACCTAGGCAATTCGATCCACATGAACCGGACTTTGTCGAAATAAGCGGTAAGAGCGCAATCGTCAGCTCGTAGTGCCAAAAGAATGGAAAGGATGGAACTGTTCCATCTCCAGGCAAAACGGAGGCGAGTTTCGTGGTAATCCATGTTAGTTGCAGCACCAGCCCCATCCACATCACGTTTTATTGGAGTTCCCGGTTATCGGTGTCATTCACGACATCTCATTCCGGATGTTGGTTTAGATTGGTTTCATATGTGGTCATAGTTCAGTTTTGCCGCATCCTTCCGTGAGGAATCCTCTCCATCCAAAGTTGTTCTTAATGATTTGCGCTGTTGATGCTTCTTGTTCCCTCTCGTTTTGCATAATGAATATGAGAGCCTCCAACGCACAACTAACCACCAATGAGGAATCTAGACTGTTCAAATATCGCCCAGCACTCACCACCCATGGTAGCATAAAATGCCATGCATATAATGGGCCTGAAAACTACTACCGCTCTACCCAGTGAAAAGTCCAGTGACACCGCGGTATTTACGCATCAGTTATATCAGCTACCGCCTCCAATTCGAAGCTATCTACCCCACATCCACAAATCATCGGTGAACGAAACTGTGGCAGCTATAACCAGTTTAGGACAAGTATGCGGTTTTTTACAGCTGATGGTGATAGATGCGAGCTACCCTATCGAAGGGACTCAGCAAAATTAAGCGTGAATTGCGAGGTCTAAAGCAGGTGCAAAATGTTGCTACCACAAGTTCCGTAGTGATGAAGTATACAGGATATACGGAAGTACGGAAGAACGTACTATAATATAAACCACTTGCAAATACAGTACAAATTTGAACCGGTCTATTTCGCGCCGTTCTATCATCGCTAATTTACTCAAATTTGATTGCGCAACGACTAACCTCGCTACAGTAGAGAGACAGACGGGCAGAACGCATATGCGTAGTATGCGACCACCCAGTCTGAACCGGCGACATCAAATCGAATCATTCAGCTGTGGCACCCCTTTGATGCCAAATTGCCATGCCACCAGAGGGAAGCACGAGGATTGGAACACTGCCAGGTTGCCAAGCCTAGAAAGGGAAAGTCGAGATGCAAAGGTCGGGTTCGAACCATAGAATGTCCGCTCAGTAAATTCGCGCTCTAACCACTGAGCCGTGGAGATGAAAATGGTGGACTAAACTCTCTTGCTTTGGTGACTTCAATTATACCCCGTGCAACTGTCTGTTGCTGCCCATATTAACCCAAAAAGACACCTTTCAACCAGAAAAAGCCACCGAGGTTCGTGCCAAGTGGTCCAGAAGTTGTCTTCCACTCGAGATCGGACATGCCGAGTGACGAAGGGATGAAACTGCTAACCAGGGTTTAGGCCTAACGGCGTATTTTCGATTGTTATACTGAATAAACCCTGCAGTCTCAAGACAATACTGTCTCTTTCAATGTGCAACACCTGTGCACCGAAGAAATCCACACAATAGCTATTTCAAAGTGCTCACCATTATCGGTTCTACAAGGAACCTCTTTGACTGCTTCTTTCCTATTTCATAGAAAGCTGCCAAGTATCTCCTCAACCGATGCCCACTTACCAACTAAACTCACACCTCCATCACCCGGTTGTCTACTACCACCGCCACCCGTGTTAAAATACTGATGCTTAACTGTTCTCAAACAACCGTTGGTGCCGCGTTGGTGGCACGAAGAGACTAAACCTCACCATGGTGTGGCAGTCTGTGTACCTCGGCGACCCATTGAGTCATACTGTGGGGTGTCCACGCGACACTCACGGAATCTCTCATTCCAGACTGGAGGTTGGAACATATGTGGCGACGTATTCCGTAAAAGTGGTAATGTGCCTGCATTTCCAGCCCAACACCAATGCCTTGCGTTTAGGCTTTGGAGCAAAAGGCTTTGGTTGGGGACCCTAATCGTCCTGCTGTCTAAATGTAGACGCCCTGACAGTATCCCAGTCCACGTACAACCATGACAATACTCATGCCAAATTCGCCGTCGCTTGGTGCTGTCAGCCGGGTCACCTTGCTTGCTGCACACAGCTGGGCAGGTAATCGAACACATGCTACTGCTTCTTACAGTTTCACGTTTTACGTCTCCCCCCCAGCAAATTTGAACACTTTTTCCGCAGGTCCCGGCACTAGGACTGACCGTTTTGCTCGCCCTGCATCACACTTAGCTGCAGATTCTGTGCGTCCGAGTTCGGTCATCACCCTAAACTCTTCAAAGTCTGTTTTCAGACCCCGAAAGCCTGTCTACTTATCCGCCTTTAATGTTCTCACACTGAAGCAAGCAGATCAACAGGTGACTCTTGCTAGCACGCTGGATTCTCTCAGCATTGATGTATGTTGTCTGTCAGAAACAGAGATTCAGGACGCACGTGCTGTGACCAAACGGACTGCCCCCTCACTCTCTGCCAGATTCCGACTGTTTACCTACGGTGATGCAGGGGCCGCTGCAGCTGTATATTCTGAGATAGCTATTGTATTAAGCTACCGAGCGAAGGCGTCTCTGCTTGATTGAATACCCGCTGGTAGCCGTCTCTGTGCGGTTCGTTTAGCAAAATCTGTGAGGGAATCTAGAGGAAGTGAGGTCCATCGCACCCTGTTTATTGCCAACCTCCGACACCTATGGTACCGACGTGATGTGGGCTTGTCCGTCAAGAGAAGAGTTTACACTGCGGTGGTGAGGTCCCTATTGATTTATGGATCCGAGACCTGGCCTCTACGCGCAGAGGACATACGGAAGACGTTTGTGTTTGATCATTGGTGTCTTCGCAGCATTGGTCAGGTCTGGTGGGCTGCTGAGGCCCGATTAGGTGATCATCTAGGACGCGAGGCGGACGGGCAACTGGGATCGCTTACTTCAGATGTGTACCGATCACAGACTGTTCCTTCGCAGGACGAATTCCCGGAACAGCAGAAATCGCTTGACAACGTGGTGCCCACCAACAAATCTCCCACGAATCCAACTAGACCACATCGCGTCAGTTATCGGTGGCGAGAGTCGATCACCGCCTGCCGCTCCTTCTGGAACACCAGCGTGGACTCCCACCATGCAGTCGTACGCTGCTTCTTTTCATTGCGTTTTTCAGGTATAAGCAAATCGCGCACACCTCGCTTAACCATTGAGAAGCTAGTGGACCCAAAAGTCATGCGGAATTACCAAGACTAACTCCTCGAACACCTGCCGTACAGTATGGTGTTGGATATAAACGACCACTAGAAAAAGATAACCGAAGCGCTACACAAAGCCGGAACGTCCACAAGGTGTTCTTGATTTGTTCGACTGGTCCTCGGAAATCCCTTGTCAGCGAAATATTTGGGGACCAAAATAGTTCCCTGATATGCAGCAAAGCAGAATGCTTGGACCGTCGGGAATATTTTTTTTATCGAACAGCAATTCAGCTGACCAGACGCAAACTCCGATCCAGAATCCTGGCCTTCAACAGAAAGGTGGGCCGTGAATATGGAGCTGCCTTCAGTCTCGTGAGAATCAAAGTAGAGGCTGCGACGACCACATCTTCGCACTGCGTCAGGTGTTACAGCAACGCCATAGATGACCCACAAACTTGGTATTCCTTGACTTCAAGGGTGCGTCCGATTCTGTCGATCGGTCAATGCTGTCAACTACACCTGCTCAGCGTGGTATGCCCCAGGAGCTTGCGAACATAATAGATCCCTATATTCACATTCTTGTGGACTGGTGAGAGTGTATGGTGAGCTCTCCAAAAGCCTTACTGCAAAAAGAGGTGTCAGACAAGGATGTCCACTCTCTCTATTCTTGTTCAACTTCGTAATTGATGAAATAATTAGGTGAACGCTGGACGGTCTTCAAAATCCCAATGTTCAAATTGCCTTGTCGATCTGGAGTACACAGATGACATCGCCCTAATCTTTGAAGACCGAAGTGAAGCACAAACGGTGTTGAATAGTCTGACCACTATCATACCATCTTTTGGCATTCGCCTTGCACCTTCAAAAAGCAAAGTTATGCTTCAGAACGTGCAGTCTCCGATTATATCTCTTACAATTCAATGAGAATCACCGGAGATTGTAGAAAACTTTACATACCTCGGTAGTTGTACCAGCTCTGATGGAAATGTCTGATGGAGTCAGTAGGGGAATCTTAAAGGCTTGTATCACGTTTGCTAATTTGCATCACTTGTGGCGTCAAAAAGGCAT